GCCATTCTAGCTCAAAGTCTAACGATTCCTGGGCTCAAAGATTCTAGCTCAAAGTCCAGGGCTCGGGACTCCAGAGCTTCTAAAGCCTTGTGTGGGATGAAACGGAGGGAATTTTGTTCCCCTGGGAGCTGGGAGGAAGATTCTCTTTGTTGGGGAGTGCCTCGAGAGGATGACTTGGGGTCATCAGAGGTTGGGTAGGACCGGCCAGGGAGGGAGTGGGGAGTGGGAGGGGATAGACTCCCTGAGACAGGCACGGAGGGGAGGCGGTGGTCTGTACGCTGTGTGCCCTCACTCCCTGTGTTCACCCAAGCATTTGGGAAAGTGTATAAAAACCCTGAATTGTTTGATGTGGTTGGTTTTTTTACAGAAAGTGGCAAAGGAGTTGAGTTCTGCTTGCTGGTTTGATGTAGGGCAAACATCTTTAATGGGCTATTTGCAGGCCTGCATTGCCTTTAATTACTGACACCTGGCACCTGGCTCCTTCCCTGGTGCCCTGCAGCCTGCTGCTCCAGTGGCCAGGCAGACCCGGGCCCTATCCTACCAAAGCTGCTTTTCTGCCTGTGCAGGGTCAGACTCCTCCCCACTAATGACAGTCTCATCCAGGGCCTTTTTATCTTTCATCTTGGATTTGCCTGGACTGGGGCTCCTAGAAGATGGGCCATTCAAAACCACCCCCGCCTCAACAACCCCAAACAATTCCTACTCAGATTTAGGGGAGAGCACCTAAGCCTGGCAGTAGAGCCCTGGGATGAGAGCCAGGAGACTGGGCTCTGTTATCTCTGGGCCAAGCTGGCTGTGTGACTCTTGGCAAGTCATTCACCTTCTCTGAGCCTCTGCACCCTCATCCGTGAAATAAGGGCGTGGGCTGAGTCTTACTGATTCCAACATTCTCTGATTCTAAATGATCAGACTACAGACGGCAGACAGGAGCCAAAGACTCAGGCAAGTCAGGATACCCCAGTGTCACCTGGACCTATGCCCAGCCTACAGTGGGGGCTTCACAAGTTAAAAATCTGTGCCTGTGGAATAAACAGATGCTTTAAAAATAGTTTAATTGTTTTTCTGGCTGTAAACTATACCCATGTAGAAAATCGAAGCAACACAGAAAGAAGAAAGCATACGTATAGCTGCAAACATATGTAAATACATTTCTGTAAATCCCATTGTACAGAGAAGCTGATTTGTAACCTGCCGTTTCTGCTTAACCACATACCATACTTACCTCTGTGTTTTTTTCTGATCACAGACTGTGGACATGTACCGTCATCAGCAGTGGCATTTCTTGCATGAGTTTACGTGATCTAGCTAACCCTTCCCAAATTGATGGGAATTAAGGTTGTTTCCTGATTTTTTTTTTTTTTGTTCTCATAGAGGAATGTAATGCTATTTTGGCTGGTATTTTTGTGTGCCTCTCATTTCAGTCTCTTTACTGAGGACATCTTGAGGGCTACAGACCTCCCATCTGCTCCCCAGCACCAAGCCCGAGATCTGCTTAAGTGCCCCGTTCTTTTGGTGGGGGGATACAGAAAACAGGGGCATCTCAGTGGGCGGTGGATGATGGGGAGGGGCTTTCTCCAGGAGGCAAAGCTGCAGAGGCCTGGGCAAGTCTCCTCCCCTTGGAGCAGTAATGGATTATTCACATGCTTAAGACCAGCAAAGTGTGGGCATCAAACACAATTTAAAAAATTTTAAAAATTTAAACAAAAAGTCAAAGTAATCACTTTAAGAAAAATAAGGGTTTTGTTGGGTTTGTTGAATTCAAGTTTTCTTGTGTTTTAAGTGTAGGGATTGGGAGGGCACCATGACTTTTTCAGGAGTCTATCTGGTCCTGCCTCGGATAGTGTCAGAGGCAGAGCTGTGAGTCCATGAGTGTGGTCTGGGGTCCAGCAGCACTGGTATCACCTGGTAGCTGGTTAGAAATGCAGACTCCTGGGCCATACCCCAGACTCCCTGAACCAGAATCTGCACTGTACCAGTTCCTGGGGTGATTTGCATGCACATTAAAATCGAAGATGCTCTATTCAGAGCAGCTGTTCTTAAAGGGAAGTCCAGGGTCCCCAAGACGCTTCTGGGGGCTCTGTGAAGTTAAAGCTATTTTCATAATATTATTACAGGTTTTTTTTTTTGGCTTATTTCACTCTCCGTCATGAGTGTATAGTGGAATTTTCCAGAGGCTACATGATATTGCAAAAAGTTGGAAAAAAATGAATGTAAATACAGTATGAGAATACAGCCTTCTATTTAGTTAAAGAGATTTGCCAGAAAAAAAAAAGAGTAAAATAATGCTACTCCTACTAATATTATTTTTTGTTTTGGAAAATATGGGATTTTGTTTGTTTGTTTTGTTATTTGTGTTAAGATGCAATGGGTTTATTTGTTTTTACATGAGTTAATGAATCAACATTTTGTAAGTTTCTCAGTGTTAATTTCTAAATTGGTAACTATCAAGAAATATAACCCACACAAAACAAGACTTCTCTGGGATTCTCAATAATTTTTAAGAGTGTAAAAAGGTCTGGAGACCATAATGTTTGAGAGCTGTTGATCTAGAATATGCTTCCGCTCTAGGATTTCAGTTCTGCCCCTCAAGAGAAAACCACAAGCTGACCTAAATCACAGAAGAGGGGTCTCAAGTAAAGTTGACACCGTAGGCCAGAAGAATCCAGGGGCAGCTGTGCTCCGCAGAGGGGGGCCCACAGGGTCCTCGGGTGCTTGGAACCCTCATTTCCAGAGTCTGGCAGCTCCAGCAAATGCAGACCTGGTGCTGCCCAGGAGTAAATCCCAAGGTCTGAGCCGCCAGCTGGACCTATGATCCCCTGGGTACTTAGGACAGGAATTGCCTACACTGTCTTGGGAATTTATCTTCATAGGACAATGAATCGGAGGGACCCATCAGAGCTTGCCCTGGACTGGTCTGGTGGCAGTTCATCCCTTCCCCTTTCTGGGGCTCTGCTGACTCGGGCTGTAAAATGGAAGCTGATTCTGTTCCCCTCCCATCACTGGGCGAAGTCATCAAGCACCTAATAAAAGATGGTGAAGCTCTAACTCATCGCTACATCACCTCGTCCTGAGAGTAATAACCATGGTGACATAGACAGCCAGAGTTCAAACTCTGGGAGGGAGGTGCTTGCCCAGCCAAGAGGCAAGTTGCTCTTTGACCATCATCAGCTGACCTGGTTTTTGCCCACTGCATGTGGGCCAGAGCTGCAGGGCAAGCCAGGAGGTTAGAGGTGGACACATCTGGCCCTCAGTGTCCAGGTGTTGCCCTCTT